CATTTATAGGCTGCACATTGTGTACCAAGCATCCCAGACCCTGTACATTGCTTTCTCCTTTAAGCTTTGTCCCATATTACAGACAAGAAAACTGAGCCTTGGGGAAGGTAACCAAGCCAAGTCACAAACTCACATGTAACCAAACAAGCGTGTGAGTCGGGGTCTGGTGGTCTCCAGGGCCTTTCTCTTGCCCACACACCACGGGCAACAGCAGTGAGTGGCGAGCGCACCACTGCCATTGCACAGCTGCCCTCGCTCCTGTAACCCATGAACCAAAACCATCCTTAAGATTTGTCACAGCTTGCTCATGGGTGATTTTATTTTCTTTTATCTTTTTTTATTATGATTTAGCTTTTATTTCATAGTCACAAACTTAACTCTGCAATCCAGCTAGACATGTAGAGAAATAAGGAAAATATGGACCCAAAGACCTGCAGCAAGAACGCAAAGATCACAGGCTACTGTGAGCAGATGGGTAGAGGGGAGCTCTCCTGAGCTACAGAAGGAACAGGCTGGTGCTGAAAACCAAATGTTATGTCACATTCATTACGCTTGTCTCAGTCAGTAGTGGTGACCTTCTTGCTGGTCTTGCCATCCTCTACCAAAAGCGCTCTGTGGCTTCTGCAACACTTGTGCCCTCTTTCCTGCCAAAGATCTCAGGCTTGTCACCCCACCCCACCCCACCCCTCAGTCTTAGCTGTGCAGAAGAAAAACTGGGAACCATTTGTGTTGGGTCCAGCAATTGCCAAGGACCTGTATGCTTCGGGATAAAGTTCTCATCATCAAATTTCTCCCTGTAGATAGACTTGCCACCAGGGCCATTATGGTGTGTGAAGTCACCACCCTGGCCCATCAACCCTGGAATAATTCTGTGAAAGCAGGAACCCTTAGAACCAAATCCTTTCTCTCCAGTGCTCAGAGCAGAAAAGATTTCTGCTGTCCTTGGAACTTTGTCTGCAAGCAGCTCAAAGAAGATGTGGCCTAAGGGCTTGCCAGTGGCAGTGATATTGAAGAACACAGTGGGGTTGACCAAGGCCGATAGCAGGCGACTATAGGAAGTGGCAGCGTTTGCAAAGCCTCTGCTTGTGGGTGATTGTAAAACTATGTAGCTATTAAATTCACAGCCAGAGCTTGGAGAGATTATGTGCTTTCCCCAGTCACACAGTTAGTGGAATCCTAAATCTTGGGAAATTAAAACCAATATTTACTAGCATGTTAAGTGTGTGGTTGAATGGCTTTGTGACATTTTAGGAAGAGCAATCTATACTTTCTGAGATCTTTGAAAATAAAGTTACTTTAAAATGATAACAATATTATAGTAAAACTGTATGGACATGTTGGAAAAAATAAATTTTAAAAATTATCCCCATCCTGGATCTTGCTCCCTAACAAATGATGTGCTTTTATCTTTCCATCGCTTTTTAATAACCTCCCATATTTATGCACACATTTTATATAATTGCAATCTAGGCAAAGACAGCGGTATTTCCTGGTGACTTCAGTTATCATCATAATTTTTTTTGGTGGTTACCTTCTCTTCATAATACTTATTTTATTGATAGAGTGTCCTTAGCCTTTGGGTTATTTCTAAGTTTTATTCTCTCCCCTCTGTTTCTGCTCACCACCCTCTCTGCCCTGTGATTTATCATTATCTCTGGTCATGTAAGGACAATGATCTGAAATTGACCCCAGATAGAATTGGACTGAAACCATAAAATAGTACTTTGGGCTTTTTAACATGAAGAAGTCGTTTTGAGGGCCCTTCTCCCTTTTGAAGTGTGAAACATACACCCCTTTGTAACCACTGTTAGTTTTTGCCAAGCACTGAGCTGCGACTCTTAGGCACACCTTTTACACCTGTTAACATTTGACAATGCACTGCTCCGGCTCCATTACCAGCTGCATAAACTGGTGTCCCTGTTAGCGGAAAAAGCAGTTGACCCCGGTTGCCTAGACTACCCTTCCACCGTGTACTTTATGTATTAGATCTGGGCAGGGAGCACTTAAAAATAAATCAACCAGGTCAAGGCAAACATTACTCTTTGCTTCAGAGCTTGTTCTTATTTTTTTAAGTTAATGAGCTAGAGTAGAGCAATAGAACCATCTTATCTAAATCCTCCAAAGAATTATGAGTCAAATAGGTGTATTTTCTGGCCAAGTGAGTGCTAGAGGTTTTGAAGTCTCATGCATCACAGAGGTCCAGGGTTTCTGGTCAGCAGATCTTAGGTGGGCTGGTAGACCCCAGATTTCCCGCTGGTGCTGAGGGTCACTAGTGGGCCCTGAGGGCCTGCAGTGGGCCTGAGGGTCACTAGTGAGTGTCATTTAAGGTTTTGACTTCTGTGTTTAGGAAAATGACAAAGATTTATTTCTGAAACCCTGTGACAGGGATCTAGGAAGATAAAAGAGGTATAGAGCTGGTGTCTGCCTTTGGGGCTTACAATCTAGTTGGGAAATGGGGAAACTTTAAAAGGTTACAGTGCAGGTGGCATGTGAGTCCAGCAGGGGTGACAAGTTTAGAGCAGTGATGGTCCCTGTGGAGGATGCAGCTGGAGTTTCTCCTAATCATGGGCTGACAGGCTTCATGTTTGGGTTCATTCACACATTCAACAAGAATATATTGAGCTGGGAAGCCAATAACAAACCTGCTGTCCTAGAATTTACATTATAGTCTAGAGGAAGGCAGACCATATAGGAGGTAATTTTAGGGAGTAGGATGAAGAAGCTAAAAGAAGAGCTGGAGAGAGTGAGCTCTCCAGGCTCAAGGAATAGCAGGCACTGAGCCTCCAGGCAGCAGGAGATGGTGTCAAGGGTTGGAGCCAAGGCCCTCCTCCCCTCAGACCTCTTTGTCTCTCATGGAGGGGTGAGGGACTTTCCCTTCCACCCACTGGCTTCCCTGTGCCCTACATGACTAGACTTTATATAATTTTTATTTTTTCCCTTCCTTCCTTCCTTCCTTTCTTCCTTCCGTCCTTCCTTTTTTCTTTCTTTCC